TTAACATAACCTTAAATTACATGCAATGGTTAAATGGTCAGTGGTTTTGATGATTAAAATTCTGTCAAATATCGTACGACATTTGACAACAATATAAACAACAATCTAGACAAAAATGAACGAAACAAACAGCTGATTCTGCAGTATTTCAAAACGAACATCGTTCACCTTCCTGTGTGGTCCAAATATGTATATAGTAGCAACTTTTCAAGTCATTGGTTGAATGTCGTTTCGAAAGGTGAGACGTTGCCGAATCAGCATTTAACATCGTCGGAACATTTTTGGAGAAAATTCGAGTGACTGACACAAGCAACATCACGATTGAGATAGCTATTATGGTAAGTTTTTATTAAAACACTATTTGAAATTGAATTCGAATTAAAACTAAAATCAATGACTAGATCAATAAATTGGTGTGAATTTTTCAGCCTAAACGTAAACAATTCGACGATTTTTTTGATGGCTTTGACGCGCAGTGTGCTTCAACTGGACTCTTGAATGCAGTACCAGCTTGCGTAAAAAATATTGTTCACACTCAGCGGCTACAATTCGGCATTGAGCTTCAAGCAATTTACGGAAAGAGAACTCGATTCTACTGAACGTTTCATAGAAGAGCATCATCGAAACACAGCTGACGAATTTGACGAGTATAAGAATGTAAGACCTTTCAAGTTTCTTCCCGGACACAAGGCGTTAATATTTGGCATAAAGTCACAACTAGAAGATTTCCAAACAAAAAAAAAGATAACGAAAAAAGTGAAGAATTCGGTTCCAACCGAAAATGAGCTGCATATCGCACTACTCAATCTAATTTCCGTCTTCGCGAAGGACAATCAATTGAAAGTTGTTTTTTCAATAGACTGCATCAAACAATCAGTGTACACAGCCACTGAAAATGCTTCGTTTTGCTCATGTAATGTCATATGTCCTTTGTGTTCTTCATCGATTGGTACAAGATATGACAAGCACTGGAAGAATACTAATGTGTACAAACACTTGCGAACTCATTTGAAGTCCAAAAAGAACGAAAGAACCGCAAACCATCCAACAAAAACCAGACCATCATCAAGCCGAATTGAAGAAATTGTCGTATCTTTGGATGACAATAATAGCGAAATGATGGTGGAAGAGCTAATGGAAGAGGATGTTATCGATTATGAAGGAGATGTGGAGTACATTAATGAGGACCAGATGCCATAGAAAAACGCATTTCAATCATAATAGCAAGTTAAGATGAATTATATCAACAAAAAGTGATAGTAGATTTTAATATCCATGATAAAATAAAATCAGAATCCTTAAGAATAGATAGACTTAATCTATTTTTTTAATTTCTCTTTATTATAAATAATTAACAAAAACGATGAGAAGTAAATTTCTTAAAAAAATGTCTTCGTACTTTTTATTTTTGATCAATATTTTTGGAAAACTGGAAATCAATTGTGAAATTGAGATTGATATGAGGTAAATTGATGGAATTTGTTTAAAATTAAGGTAATAAAAAATCTAGTAAAAAATTAACGAAAAATAAATCATCAATGGTGGTTCACAACATGCGTTTGTATGGGTGGAAGCCGTTGCCGCGTTTCCTATTGAAAAAAAAAAATATCGAATTTTGTTTTGTTTTTAATCTTCTTCTATACATTATTTTACCAAACAAATTCTTACTTTTTCAGTTTTTCCTTCAGTTCTTCATGAAGGCTTGTGTGCATGTTCTTCATAGCTACCGCATTTTCTTTCCCAAATGTATGCACATATTGCAAATCCTGTACTTTTAGGAATGCTTTTGGTTTTTTGTTGGTGTTTTGCACTTTTTTCAAGACAACATTTCCGATTTGTTCTTGAAGAGAACCTAAAAAAAAATTCAATGACATTATAAAATGATGTTTTGGCCTGGAAAATTAGATTTTCCATTGTATTTTAATTTCACTTTACCTTTGGCTAGACCTTTGGACATTGCTGATGTAGATGGCAAATTTGGGGTTTTTGGAAATGCAATCGGCGGCGTATTCGTTTGCTCTGACGTTGTTTGCGTTGTAATCGAAGGTTTTGAACCTGGCATTGGTGGTGGTGGCGGAATTTCCAATACGTTTATTTTCCCAATCTCCTCGTCGATGAGCTCGCGAAGTTTCATCAGTTTTTGACGTTTTTCACCCAAATGCTCATCATTGCACATGTGCATTTCAATCTGTACCATTGATTCCAACCACAATTATCAATGTTGACGTCTATGGAAAATTGCCATCTAGCGACAGTGTTGTAAAGTGCAAAAGCATTGCATTGAATCAAACAATCACTCGCATTCAAAGTATCGCTTTGAAACTAAAGACAATAACCAAAATAACTGAAAAAATTGAAAAATTCACTGAAAATACTTGACTTTATTTTTTATTAAATGCTGAATTTTTATTAAATCATGATTGAATCACTTTATTGTCGACATATTTTTTGAAAAGTATTTCTCGTAAACAACCGCTTTTCGTTTTAGTCCGAATCCGAATCGTCGTAATGCAACGATCCAAAGTTAGCAGAATTATTCAATGTCGTTTGAATGTATGACGTACGTCCTTCTCGATTCATGTCTCCAACATGCCGCAAAAGAATTTCGATTGCTGACGAGCGTCGTGGTGTTGATGTTGTGGATATTGGCGATGCATTTTCAATTAGAGATACGTTTGCCATCGATGAAATGCTCAGTATTGCCGGTACTTGTGACATCAATGGAGTTGACGTATTGCCCATTGACCCAGTGCTTGGAATTGGTGGAGATGCGTTTGACATCGAAGAAGTGCTCGGTATTGCCGGCATTTGTAACATCAATGGTGTTGATCTATTGTCCATTGACGATGTGCTTGGAATTGGAGATCGGGTGTTTGTTGGAGACATTGTGTCGATTGTGGTTGATGAGTCGTTTCTCAAACGGAAAGACACTTTCAAAGCAGGCATTGACTTGCGTCGGGTTAGACTGAATGGCGCATTCTTCGGTTGTTTCAAAATTGACCGAAGTGGAACCATTTGTTGGTTTGGAAAGTTCAAATTTTGCACATCATCGTCAACCAAATTTCCAACTGATTTGGTTCGTTGAATGCGATTTGATTTTTTGGAAATCAAGAGTCGATCCATATTGGTGTTTCTTAAAATGACCACTTTCACCTTTTGGTTGAAACCAGCAATTCGTGCACTTCTTTCTTGAGATCGAGTTACTGAAACAGTTTAAATATAAAAATCACTCCATGAAAATAAAGAAACTATGTTCAGTAAATGTACATTTTATTTTTATGTTTCAATGTCTCTATGTTTCTTTATACTAAGACTAATATAATGAAATATTTTCATAACGATATGACTTTCTTCACAATAAAAAAAATGAGCGAACGAAAAAAAATGAACTTAAAAATAACTGGATAAAAATTGAATTTATCTTCAAAAATTCACTTACGCATTTTGTGTCCCATTTTTCGCGCCGTTTTATGTTCAATAGAACTATAACCAATAAAAATTCAAAATGAATAAGCGATATTAAAAGTCCAACTGAAAAGTGTGTTTAGGCACGAATATATGAAATGAAACCTTAAGGCGCTGTCGAAGAATGAGATGCGATATACAAAAGGCGCCTTAAGGTGTCAAGAACAATAGCAACGTCAAACAAAATGTTAGATACTTAAAGTACTTAGAAAAAGCGGACTAATTTAAACAGCAAATCGTTTTTATTTAACGCCAAGATCGGCGGGATATTTTTTTTAAATATAACATTTTTTTTATTAAAATATCATTTGTTATTATATGTTTTTCGCTACGAAATTTTTGATGGTCTCTAATTTCAATGATGTAGTTTTTTAATTTTTTTTGTTTCTTGTATGCCAACGAAATACATAGCTTTATTACATTTTTAGTTTTATAAATTATATATTAGAATTTTCCAATGGAAATTTAAATGAAATGTGCAGTTGATTTATGGATTATTTTTCATGTTTCACTGACCAAGAATATGAAGATGTTTACGGTAATGGTGGCGTAGAAAATCATTTTGCATTCCCATTGTTTGCATTTTTGCCAAGTAGTTACATTTGATTCGTGTATATTCATCGATGATATGTTTTATAAGAAAGTTTTTGTGTTCCAAATCATGTTCATCTTCTTCATAGTATATTGGATACAGTTGTGACAATCGGATATTACTTAGCACGTCTATGTAAACTTTTTGCTTGAATGTTGACTCTGTTTTAAAACCCGACATCGACTTGATCGCATTGTCAGTTAGTTTACATAGTTGAAATGTACTTTTACATGGAAATTTGGTTCTTTCAGAGATACAAGTGCTTGTGTCCAATCTTTCATTTGTCTCTAGAACCAATCTGCAATGGAAACAGCTAAATTTATTTCCCTTTTCCAAATTTAGCATTCGATTTTCAATCGATTGTGCAACAAAACTAATGCCAGCGTCATGCATATTGTCCGTTATATGATTGCATCGGCCAATTCGTTCCAAACCATCCAGTTCATATAAATAATCATTATTTGTCTCACCATCAGATACATTTTGCACGGGAACATCTCCACTTAAATCATCGTGTAATTTCCCACGTCGAGATGAAACTGATAAAATATTTGATGCACAGCCAAGAGAAATATTTGAACAACCTGATAAACGTATGTCACTTTGATGTAGTAATTTTTTATAGGCTGACGAAAATTGTTGTACTGTTGGGTTGTCATTGTGACCGTTCATCGATCTAGTTGCACCAAAGAACATTTCGAGGTGATCTTGGCTTACCCGATATGTCGCCACAAATGGCATCCAATGCTTTTCGACTACAAACTCATTGTAAATGTTTTTCAAACCAATTATATTCATCACATAACCGAGGAAACCAGTCTTGGATTTTGACTTCCACAATGGAGTTAATCGATGACTATTTTTCCCCCTCTTTTTTAGAGAAAGAATATATTCTTTTGCTTCCTCCAAGAATACGAAAACTTCATTCTGGTTTGTCGGATTTAATGCACTTTTGAAAAGGCTTCCCTCTCGAATTCTACTGGTATTCATGATATCCCACAATTTATCAAACATTCTAATGAATTTGATAGTGGGTCCCGCATGTGTGAACTCCGGTACCTTATTTTGCATTAAAAATTCCATGGAGTCAGCGACGGATTTACTGATGGTCTCCACTGCAGTCCGCACATGCATAATTCTTTTTTGAAAATTAATATGGCGTTTTGTGAGTTTGTGAGTTAGGCCAAAATTACTTTTTACACTAAATTCGACAAGTTGTGCGAAATATTTCCATTCAATTTTCTTTCCCATTCCATCATATAAAACTTCAAGATCTGCCAAAGTATTTCGTACTAGTTTTTCAGAGTGGCTGGGATCAAGGAATGTATGCAATTCATCTCCATTCGCTGGATTTTTAAATGTCGGGCATATTTGATCCGAATCTCCTCTTAGCACACCGCCTAACAATTCACACATTGTTTGGTTTGAAGAATATCCATCGAAGGTCACACTTGCGATTCTGACGTCACATTTTGTAATCTCTTTGATCACTTCTAATAATAGCGCTCCCCGATCTTGGTAATCCAAAGTATCGATAAAATGATATGCAACCGGCAGTTGAAAAAATTCATTGATTGCAGTGAACATCAAAACAATTACTTGTTTGGCAATTAAAGGCTCGTCATTTTGTTCATATTCTTTCGACTTGGCACCATATGTCGCATATCCCAAAAACATTCTTGATTTCGAACACCACTGCACATTTTGCCTTATTCTCATTTCATCAAATATAATACCACCAACCAATTGTATGCCGCGATCTCTCATTTTAGCGGCCTTTTCTTTCAATAGATCCAAAGAATTTTTACATATTCCGGGTGAACCGTCTATGTTACTATTGTGATACCAGGCTTGGATTGTTGATTGATGTGGCAGATGTTTGTTGAATTTTTCTCTCAAATATGCATACGTACGAGGACTAAGGAAATTGATGTTCATGCAAATCGCCCGAACATGATCAGAATAAGGTTCCTTGCCCTTTCGTCCATTGCAAAGGCAATCAATGAAATCCTCTAACTCGACCGTCTAGAAAATTAAAAAAAAAAATAAATAACGTACATTGTAAACAATAAAGACAGTTCAATTTACATTCACAACGCCGCCTAAATCTGGTGAAATATATCGATTAGTTTGGAGTTCGACAATCGATGCATTCAACTGCTTAATTTCATATTTTCTTTGATTCAATTCCTTTCGAAGAAGTACGAAATTATCCGATTTTTCAGCCAGTTTGTGTGTCAGTTTTTCTTTTTCCAATTTCAATGCCATGATTTGTGCTTCATACTCAACTTTGAGGGTGTTCATTTCAGATTTCAATAATTTACAATCAAAACATGACTCTGTATTACTGGCTACATCACTTGTACCATCGCATGAATTATACTGCCCTTCAGTATTTGAATTTAAATCAATTTCATCCGGCGTACTTGTCACAATTTGTTCTGATTGATGTTTTGATTTTTCAAAGATAGTCGGGACAACGTTAGCTCCCAGGTTAAATCTACCACGAGAAGATTTAGTGTAATCACATTCATTGAAATGACGAATACAAACATTGAACATTCCAAGTGCGTTGAAATTCTCATCATATTTTTGAATGGCAGATAGCCAATTGGCTCGCACAGCATCTGTTGCTCTGTGTTAGAAAACATACACGATATTACAAATTGAAACAAAACATCAAAACAAAATAAAAACATACTTGAAAACGTGTTCAAATGTTCCACGATAATTGTCGCAAGTTATAATGCAACAATATTCCTTTCTTTTCCTGCTCATTTTGAATGTCAAATCCCAATTAACGTTTCTGAATCTTTAAAAAATAATAAAACAACGATGAGGTAAAGAACCAGTTCTTAAGTACAAATTTAAAGTAACATTCAAATTTGACAGCTCCTTAAGGCAACGTTTCATACAAAATAGCGTGAATGCAAAGCACACTACGCACTTTACATTTTTGGTGGGAAATTATTTGTTCAATAAATTGGTTTTCCATATTTGGAACACAGATTTTGATTTTCAAAGACAAGTTTTATTTTAAAACATAAATTCGACGCTATGGATGACGAATATATTGTGGAAAACATTATAAAACGTCGTTTTAAGAATGGCAAAGTTCAATATTATCTCAAGTGGTTTGGCTATCCACCAAGTGAAAATACATGGGAGCCCGAAGAACATTTGAATTGTCCAGACTTGTTGAATGATTTTATCAAGTCGAAAGCCAGCAAGATTTTGTGTAAGTCCAATTAAAATTACATTGTGATATATTTTAAAAGAAATCGATTTTTTTTTAACAATACCTTTGGTAGCTGCCAAAATGTCGAATGAAGGTATTCAATACTTGATGTTGTGGAATGACAATTGGGCACAAGCCACAATTGCTTCCGATGAAGCCAAACAACACTGGCCTGAACTGACAATGTCTTTTTTGGAAAATCACTTGGAATTTCGAACCGGCGCTCCACAAAACAATCAACTGTTTGCGGAAACAAGTACATCAGAACAACCGTTGAAAATTCACTGTACGTTATAAACATATTTTTATTGTTTCACATAGAAGAAAAATAGTGCACGCATTTAATTTATTTTTTAGATGTTACTGATATAAGTGGCTTGAAGTACTGGGTGGAATTCCCAAACAATCAATTCAAATTTGTTGACTCTGATGAAGTGAAACAGATCTGTCCACAGCTCGCGGTCGACTATCTAGAGGCACATTTGCAGCTCGACGATTAGTCGCATAAAATTACGATAGCGATTTTACTGCCGCCAATTTCACTCTTTCAATACAATAAAAAAACTAAATGAACATAAATAATGATTCTTATGTGACTTTTGCATAGCAAGTTTCAATAAATGTTGACATCGTCTGAATATAAACAATGGTTCTATATGTTGCTTGTGTTTATATAGCATTATAGCATTATTTGGTATTTGTTTATTCGTACTGTGATATCGAATCAACTATAACTGGCCATGAAAAAACTCATATTGAAAAAAGTTTCATCGTCTGTGTCGCATTCAACCAAGTTCAAATATAATTCAAACACATGTACAAAATAATGACTGAAAAGGAAAACACGGTATAAATGATGTCTCCGACTGATTTTGTTGCCTTCAACGCCTTCAATGTTTGTAATTTTTTTTAACATTCCAATGCACAAAGTATCAATCAAATCAGTTCAAGTTTTCATGTTGTTGTTTTTCACAATTTGATTTTTCAGCTGTTCATTAATAATGTCTGTTCGCATCAAATTCATAAGATAAATGGATTGATTTTGTTTGTTTATTGTCATACTAGTTTTATTAGTATAAAAAACTTATCTTTAATTCAAATTTGATGAACTTACAATTTTGCTAAATAACAATAATTTCCTAAATGAATTGCAATTTTTTGTTAAAAACATCGTTGATAAGAAGTTTTAAGTTCATTCCTCATTGTTAAGGTCTTCATATATAGTTTTTTTCCAAGATGATCGGCCAAAAGATACCGGCGAGAAATCAATTTCAATTTGCTTGCGGGGTTGATCAATAGCTTCAGAGTGAAGTGAGTAAAGTTTCCGATTAAAATACTGCTTTTTACGTGGTTCCGGTAGTTCGAATCGGTGTAAATCTAAATTTTCAATAATTGAATGAAAAAATATAATTTTCAAACAAATCAAACATAACACGAATGTTATACTCACTAATCAATTTCGGAATATTAAGAAATTTTTCCTTCCCAAGCAATTGATTTTCGAAAATTCTGTGTGCCGTCGTTTTTGAGAAAGTGATTTGGCCAAATGCTGCACCAATCAGTACATTATTTTGCTCTCTTTCAATATTCGCAATATTATCGTGATATTCAATTGATGTCGTTGATGTGACATTATGCGACGATATGAATTGCTTTGAAACCTTTCGACTCGCTAGAAACAGATATCGGAGATCGAATTAAATTACATTTCAGCAAAGAATAAATAAATGGATTTACGTTTGGCTAATTCCAAGCACATCTTTGGTTCAACTGGTATCTCATCTTCATCCTTATGTTTGCTCCGCCAATGAGTGTAATAGTTGCCTTTCCTTTGGTAAGACTTTGGGCATCTTGGGCAATAAATACGACAAATTTTTGGTCCATGTAATTTTATGTGGCGTCGTAAATTGTACAATTTTCCTCTAAACTTTTGTTTACATATGAAACATTGTAGTTTCCTTTTCATTTTTTCAGTAATTTTGAAAATTAAAACAAAACACTCTGACACTTGAATACGATATAAAAACAAACGATAAATGACATTTGAATCTCTGCTTGTTTCAATACATGTATTATGAAGTTAGTTATTGAGACTTAATATAAGTTGCTTTAGCTATTGTTCGTTACACTGTCGTTAGATGGCGCGTTAGAAAGCGTTTTGTTCTGCGCCTATATAAATGTACAGAAGATCATTGTGGTTGATTGATTCGATTATCGTGCTACGCAAATACTCTCCGCATGTCAAACAAGCCAATACACTTAACTTGTGTTCCATTTTATTCTCGATTTTATTCCAATTTTAATCAGAATAGCTAGCTTTGTTTATAGTTTAAAATATTTCACGTTATTTATTTGATATAGATAAATGAGATCTACTTTGCTGGCAAATAATTTTATTAGAAATTTTATTTCTCGAAAAACTTTCTTCTAGACTTTTTTTATTCAATCTTTACTTGAGCAACTAGTTGAGCAAGCACAGCCGATCACTGTTCTGTTAGCTGTTCTGAATGTACCTTTTTAGAATAGTATTGCCCAAAGTATTGCTTTTGTGTGAGTGAACAGAACACGGAGCATAGTGCTGCACACTAGGCTGCACATCACAGTCAACTATGATATTTCTAACGGAACTCTCATAGCACTGTACAATACAATACGAAAGATGAAACGAAAAAAACTATGCGAATTGCTCCGACAGGATGAAACATGTTTGAAAATTTGCTTGATTTTTAATACAATATAGCTATAAAATGCTAAGCAAAATACTCTGTTTGCTTGTGTTTTTGCTAGTGTTTTTGTATGGAATTATCGTTGATTTGGATGTTGAGCTATTTAGTCTAGTATTTAGTGAGCTATGCTTGAAGTTGAGGTTATGTATTCGCCGGTCAATCGTACAGTATTCGTCAAATGTAACATATGAACTTACACACACATCAACGTATATAAATAGAAACAGTAAACAAAAATAGTAAACAAATACATGTGCGTTTTTATGTCTAAGATAACATTTTTACGATTTATTCAAATTTTGATTATAAGAAAAAGAGCATGTTCTTTACTTTAAATGAATTTTATGCTAGACTTTATGAAAAGATATTAGATGTTAATCAAAAAACTAGTCAAAAAAGTATAAAAATTATTTTAAAAAAATAGATAGATGTGATGATTTAGAAAATTAATCAGTCAGCTTGAGTAGATGACCTAGTCGATAATAATCACAACTGGCTTGAGATTTTTCTTGGCTTGACCGCTGACGATTGGGTCGTGGATTTGATCGAATAAGCTTTTCGGTACCACTGGTAATTCTGGCAAAACACGTTCAGAAGCCTGCCGATAAAAATGAAGAGAATTACAAATTTGTCGATGTATTGAAAAAAACAATGAATTAACGTACCTTGGACAAATTTTCCTTTGTGCGCGACAATAATCGCTCGAACTTTTTTGAATTTCTTTTGGTCTTGATTTTTTGCTTCGATGCGGATTGAGATCGTGGACTTTTCGGTGGCTGGGTAAGGCGACGCTCAGCAACAATTTCTGCCTTCTTACGAATTGCATCATTTACATTCTGGCTCTCCACTTCAAGTTGATTTTGCCTTTCCATCATGGCACGTTGGGCTCGAGTACGAATTTTCACACGTACGTTACTCATGTTTTCACACGTACGTTACTTTTCACGAGATTTTTCAGTAAATTTATTTCAGCAAGGAAAACAGATTCACAAAATTTTCTCTTTCAAATTATTTTTCTCCGAAGCGAAAAAACAAACTCTGTATTTTTGTCTGTATTAGAATGAACAGAACGTAATGACAGAACAATGTCAATACAATGCAATGTATATACTTTCAATACATGAAACTAAATTTGACAATTTATTTGACATTTAGTGTCACAAACTGGTTCACAGCAAACTTAGCAACAAACAAAAACTTTGACATTTCGACGCACAAATGAGTTGAAGGCGCACGATTTTTCCTAGGATTTTTCAGACTCAACTAAGAATAAAATTGAGAAAACAATTTCAATATAAAATATTGATGTAACAAATGATTCAATTTTGACTATGAATGTCACTGATATTTGTGAAATTTGTGACCGTGAGATTATCTCTTGCTTGAAGCAGAGATTTATCAACGATGAAATTTATGTGAGTAACCATGTGATATATTGAGTCGATTTAGAAGTCGAAAGAGTTATAGAAATATCCAATTAAATTTAAAAAACGTTTCTTCATTCAGACATACATTGCAAAGGTGCTCATTGCAATCAACCCGTATCATCAAATAAATGGAATGTACTCGCCAAACAAAATTGAAGCATATTGTAAAGACACCAAAGATGAGCTGCCACCGCATTTGTTTTCGATTGGTGAGTTTTTTTGCCTGTTTTCTATTAGGTGCTTCCAATTAAATATGTTTTTTTACAGCCAACAGGGTCATTTCGAATATAAACATACGCTCGCAGTCAATTATTTTAACCGGGCAAACTGGATCAGGGAAAACAAACAGCGCAATGTATCTGCTCACATTTATTTCGAAGTCCAAGGTCGGCTTGACCGGTCATGTGATAGCAACCAATATTATTTTTGAAGCGTTTGGAAACGCAAAAACTTCGCACAATTATAATAGTTCTAGATTTACAAAATTATCCGAGATTTATCTTTGTCGTGACCTAAAAGTTGATAGTGTTCAAATGTCGTATCTGCTATTGGAAAGCAGTAGAATTCATGGACAAAATGCAAACGAATCCAATTTTCATATTTTTCATGCTATCATAACGCCAGCTGCTTGCACTATACTTAAAAACCTAATCGATCTTCATCTGGATGAAGCTACGAATTATGCTGTATGTCTTTATATTTTCATGCTAATATTAAATGACCGAAATTCATTTTATTTACTTATAGTATTTGCCGAAATATCAACACAATGAAGAAATAAAAAGGTTTCAAGATTTCGCATTGGTCGATAATGCATTGGTTGAACTTGGAGTGTCCAATGGAGAAAGAGTAAAAATATATAAGACATTAGGAGCAATATTACACCTTGGAAATGTGAGATTTGAAGAAAATAGTTGCCAAGAAGGATGTCAAATTATTTCCTCCACAAGAAATCACTTCATTTATGCGGCTCAACTTCTAGCGATTGAACAAGGAATTCTCAAAGAATATTTGTTGAAACGAAAAATGGAAATGAGAGGCTCGGATCCAATTTTGTAAGTTTTTTTTCACAAACATTCTGATTTCATTCAGTGTTTTAATGAATTCTAATCTAATATATTGCAGTATTCCATTGGATCGTCTGAGAGCAAAAAACTTAAAAAACAGTTTGTGTCAATTTTTATATGAACATGTGTTTCAAAATATTGTTGACCTAGTCAACAAAAATATGTCTTTCAGTTCAGAAGCTTCGACACGATCGCAAATAAATCTATTAGATATAGCCGGTTTTGGTAATTTCAAACTTTCTTATAAATCATTCATAATACATTTCTATTTAACTATAATTTTCTTCTACTAGAGGAGTTTAATATGAAGAACCACTTCGAGCAACTGTGCATAAATTTCATTAATGAAAAAATTCAACAGATGTTCGTCAAAATAATGTTGAAAAAGGAAGAAGAATGGTATAAAAGTGAATATCTAGAAGTACCGGAAATTCCATTTTTAGATAACGATCAAATTTTGGGTAAACAATTTATGTTATTATATAGTTGCTGGAATTTAATTGTGATCAATTCAAGATAATAGCTACATACTTTTCATTTTAGACGTGTTTGAGAATAAATACATCGGCATTTTCAAAATATTAGATGATACTGGCAAAATGCAGAGTCAAACTACATCAGATTTTGTACAAAATATTTTTAACAACTGGACAACCACTTCGATTTTGGTTAGACCAAAGATTCGAGGGATTCAAGAAAACAGTGGATTTATCATTCGTCATTTTGTTGGTGATGTTTTCTATAACGTTGTTAGTATTTGACAATTTTTAAGTTGACAATTTGACAATTAATTCAAAATTTGTATGTATGCGTTTTCAAGGACAATTTTGTGGAGAAAAATCTCAACATTTTACCAAAAAGTATTGATGATTTGTTCCAAGATCTGGGTATATGGAATAAAAAATTAAATAATAAATCGACAACCTTCATACTTAAAACGGGAACAAATGAACTTATAAATAATCTTTCTGAAACTGTAAGTACATTTTGAGTTGTTAACTGCCTCAAAAGAGCAAGCCAATAATTTCTGTTTATGAATTTTTTTCAGGAATGCTCGTTTGTGCGCTGCATTAAACCGAATGCTAGTCAAAATAGAGGCATATTTGATGAAAATTTTGTCGAATCTCAGCTGATTTCATCAGGATCTATCGCATATCAACAACTAATGAAAGCTGGCTTCCCATCTCACATGAGTATTGCTGAGGTATTGAATATGTTCAAGTCAAGTTCAGAATTTCAGCACGTTTCATATGAAAATCAGAAAGATTTTTGCACTTTATTGTTGCGAGCGTGCTGCCTTAAGTGGATTGATTTTAAACTCGGGAACACCCAAATATTTTTCCGTAAAGGGAAAATTCAAAAGTTTTGCGAAAAATTGAAAGAAGACCCAGAAAAAATCAAAGAGCATATTGACCACCTTATATTATTGCGGAAAAAGTTAAGAGTAGCTATCATATTCGCGAGATGTTGTGCTATTATCATATTTCGTCGTAAAGAGTTAAATGAACATCAAATGAATCAGATGCAGCCTGAAGAGCACGGTTATATACCAGCTAAAAAAATTAGACGGAATAAAAAGTTTGCCCAAAGTCCACCCAGTTTTAATGGTAATAAAGATAAATGCTTCCTTTTTTTATGACAGTTTATATTGCCGATTTATTTTTTATGTAGATGAACTTCCCAGTGCTTCAAAACACACAAGGACAACCATTGGAATTCAATCAAATGATGACTTAAATCTTGAAAACCAATTACGAACATTGCTTCGACAAGCAGAAAAGAAAAATGAAGCTTTATCTGAGGACTACCGTCAGCTACAAAAACAAAATGTTGAGCTATCAACTAAATTACAAAAAGTGGAGAAAGAAAATGAAAAACTAATGTGTGAAAACCACAAATTTCGTAAAACCGTTTCTTATATTACACTTGAACACGATTACCAAATGCCTCAATAAATTGAAAAAAAAGTGAGATAAAAAGAAGTTTTACTGTATCAAATCGTTGTTTTTGTCTGTGAAAATCAAGTTCATTTATATTTCTTGAAACGATAACATTTTTAGAGAGAGCACAAATCTTATAAAAACATAATTTTTAAATTATAATTTGGTTTGTTTTGAAAAAATAAATTGTCGGCTGCTTTCTAAAGTGACAAAAAATAAAGCAATTCATAATATGAATTTCATATAAATCAATCTAATAGCGCGCAAGGTATAATAATGTCTGCTAATGTTTAACCTATGCTACAAATTTTTTTAAAAATAGTTTTATTTTTTACATATCTAAATATTTTTCCATTATTTATTTGAATGGTTGAAATAGTAATTATTAATGAAAACTCTTCAAAATGATTCTCAGGAAATAATCTAGGAAATAATGGGCTTGTTTTTATCTTCGAAAATTAAAACAAGATTACGAAAAGCAAAGAACAATAAATTGGAAATGTACTGTTTTCGAATATCTTCCACAGTAAAAATCAATGTTTAATTTTTCAAAACGAAATTCGCTGTGTCGCTTATATTTTTTGAGAAATCTTCATTTTTAGATTCTACTTAAATTACTAGTTTAGTTATAAAAATTTTAGATATTGAGCTTCAAAGTGACAAAAGTGAAATATATACTTGTATCAACTCCTATCGATAGATATGAATATTGATATTAAATTTAAATTATTATACAATATTCGGTATTAAAGTAATTGAATTGTTTTATAAATTACATTCAGCATTCAGAATTGTTAGAACATCGCGTTCGATTTCTTTAAATTGATTTTCAAAAAAATATAATGCATTTATATCTCTATCGACATTTGGTTTAATGACTGTTGCTACGTAGTTATCAACTTTGATGTAATAGTGGTTCTCTTTTTTCACTGGAACTAAATATCCTCTAGTATTAAACGAATACCACGAAGATAGCGCTGCCACTTCTTTTCCTCCAATTCTTTTCTTGTATTCTTTTAGATCGACAAAATCGCCCTTGTACCGCTTTTCTTTTGCCGTTATACCTTGG